GGGGGGGGGGGGGTATGTGTATAATGTTCTCTTTCTTCGTTGCTATGGTCTGTAAGGGGGAGGGAGCCGCCAAACCTCGAACTTAAAACTTACACTCACTATTTTCTTCGAAAATATATGTGAGTTCCACAAAATTCGAAAGAAAATGTAATTTTTGTTTTCATTTACTTGCTCAATAAATTGGTTTTGATTCTTTTTGACTTCCCGACTTTTCTAGGCTCATCTTCACGCGTACGCGCGCGCGCGACCAGGGAGAGGCCCTATAGGTATGAAACGGGTACACACAGAGCGGACCACGCCGGACTGGTAGGGCAATGTACATAGGTGTACCGTACATAATGACGGCAGGGACCTATGTACATTAAAGGCCTTCCCGAGCACTACACTGCTTTCGCCATTCCATGACGAATAGAATCTCTCTCTGGATCAGGTTACGAAGCCACTTGATAAGGCTGTGATATAAATTGGTATCTATCTTCTAACATAAATAACATAGACTTAGCATAATAATAATAGTATACACTATATGTGTACAACAACTAAGAAAAAAACTATTTCATCCGAAATAAATCATCTATATCTTATTCTAACATTATCTCAGTGTAAGTATTGTTATGAAAATTTAATTTAGAATTGTTCTTTCAACTATTAATTTATTTGTTCAAGTCTTTCTCAAGATAAATAAGATAATTTTTGAAGCAACATACCCATTCTTGTTATTGGTATAAATCAATAATAAATCATATTCTTTTTTAACATTCTCATGGTTTTTATAATTTCATATAATTCATAAAAACAAACAGATGAATTCTAAAAACATCATAGAATAAATTTCTATCATAAATCAATATATCGTAACATATATTATCATTGAAATCAAAAATATTGTAAAAAAATATGAATCATAATATAACATCATTGAGTGAATGAATGAATGAATTTCATTATAAATTAATGCATTGTAAAGCAATGAATTTAAATAACATCATTCAATAAATTTCATTCTAAAATAATATATTTTAATATAATGATTCAATAAACATCATTGTAAATTAATACATTTTGATGCATCATAAACTGATAAATTTCATTGTAATATAATGCATCTTTATATAATATCATTCAATAAATATTATGGTAAATTCATGCATTTTAACATAATATTATACAATAAATTTCATTGTAATTTAATACAATGTAATGCATCATAAACTTACATATTTCATTTTAAAATAATCCATCTTTATATAATATCATTCAATGAATCTTATCGTAAATTAATGAATTTTAACAGAACATCATACAATAAGTCTCATTGTAATTTAATACATTTTTATGTAATATCATTCAATGAATATTATGGTAAACCAATGCATTATAACGTAACACCATATAATAAATTTCACTATAAATTGATACATTTTAATGCATCGTAAATTGTATACATTTCATTGTAAAATAATGCATTTTTAAATAATATCATTCAATAAAATCATTGTAAATAATGAATTTAACAACATATAATAAATTTCATTGTAAATTAATACATCTTAATATAATATGATTCAATGAATATCATTGTAAATTAATGAATTTTAACACTATATCATACAAAAAGTTTCATTGTAAATCAAAACATTTTTATACATCATAAAATTGATAAATTTCATTGTAATATAATGCATTTATTGAATTGTACAGAAATGAATTTTAATAACACCCACCCCTAGATTTCTTTCTAAAAAAAATGCATCATTATATAATATCGATCAATAAATATCATCGGAAATTAATGTACTTTAATTCTTTGCGTCCCAAATTATTTCTACTGGACACTGACACGTCCAGATAAAACCAGCATGCTCGCATGCGAATTCACGTGCGCACACATACACACCATATCTACAAACACGACGCCCACCACATCCACACCGTTGAACATTTTTTATTGCTACATTCCAGTAAAGTACATAATAATTATTAAACATGTATAGATTTCTTTTTCCTACTATAGAATTCAAATGTTTAACATAACATTATGTAACAAATTTCATTATAAACTCATACGTAGCATTGTAAATATATTTCATTTATAATACAGTCGCATGGGGTAATTCGGATCAAAATTTTAAAAATTCATT